TTATGGCCATTTCTGGCGCGTATTAGATGTCCCCTCGACAGCCGTACCTAACCTCAGGTTCTGCTACCGCCAAAGCTTGAACTTGCGTTCTGTCGGTTTGAAGTCTATTGTTCTAACCATTGAACTACAGACTTCACTTATCGAACTACAGACTGTTTGGTCTGTTAGCTGCGATAGGGTAATTAACTATTTTAGGAGGGGGGAAGGGCGCTACCCCCCGAGCATTTTTTTTGCGCAATATCCTATCTGTGGTCATGCGGTGTGCATGCCATTTTCATGCGTTTGCAAGTTCTTCGCAACGCTAGAGCGACGGTTTGGGATTTCTGTTGCGACGTTGACTTTCGCGAAGTTGCTGATCATGACATCGTCACCGACGTGTCTTACACTTCTACTGTGTACTTTGGTGTTATGACCAGAACGCCAGAACTGGTATTGTTCCGAAGTTCACGCCCTCCGGTGACTGACAGACTCTGTATCGCTTATAGTCGTGTCCTTGGCGTGTGCTATGCCGGGCGCTTGAAGGCCCGTAGACGATGGTCTTCGAAAATGTGTCCGAGCTTTGTACTCTGTACGCCAGAATGTAGCTAGGGCGGGGGCGCATTTGCCTGGGAGGGCAACTTGGTTGTCGTTTCACCCAGAATTAACTGGTAGTCTCCAAGCGATGCTTGAGATTATCTGTCAATCAATGGAGTACTCGCCCAATATGCTCCTTCCTTCTGGACTTTTGCCCGTACTATACCCATTACACTCGTTCGAAATTTTAAAGTTTTAGCTTACGGAGGCGTGTTCCCCCTCCTTCATATTCCCCTTGCGGTCCAACTGGCACGACATACATATTAATAATGCGCACGTTTTTTTACTCTTTTTTAGAATCAATGCGTCCTGCCTCTCTTCGGTGAGTAGACGACTGCTAAAGTCTGGACGAGTTTTATTTCTGGTTCCCGTGTTTCAATTATGTGTGCTGCCTCCTGTTGGCGCAGTCAAAGAGGTAGACGTGTGCCACCCTCTGTTCCGAACTCATTTTCAGTCCCACCCTCCCCCTTGAAGGGATAGCCGGTTTGATTCTTCCCTAAATAGGGCCACTTGCCTTCTGGGTGACTGACTGCATGGCGTAATGAGAAGACGACCCGCCTTGGCCAAGCCTATCCTCAGGAATGCACATCGTTCCGCGTAAAAGCGAGAGAAAATGGCGACTGGGAGAAGATTGGTTTTGGCTGTGACTGCCTGTTGAAATTACTTGTGCGTATGTGAACTGCACTGTGACGGGTGCCACAAATCGGCCATCCTTCTTCAGCTCGCAATTACCAGTGGCCTACCTGAGCCTCGTTGACGAACGTTCACCGACCACTAGGGAAAGTCACTTGTCCTGCTCCGCCTTTGCCTTGGGCCTCACTTGTCAGGCTCTGACAGCAGCTGTAACAGCGAGGAGCATAGGCAGATAGTATTTTCGGCAAAAATAAGGGAGACTGGAGGGGAGACGTTTCTAGTGTATTAGCCGCTGCTGTCAGGACCCGAGAAACGATGCCCAAGACAAAGGCGGAGCCGGAAAAGTGAGTGCCGTTAGCGGTCGGTGAACGTTCGTCAGCGAGTGTCAATATTTCCCTACGTAAACCAGCAAGACAACGAGCTTGTGCTCAATGTTTAGGGCGTTTGACTCTGATGAAACGCTCGCGAGTTCGGGCCTCGGGTGGTGCACCACTCGATTCTGCCTATGACTGGCTGACGACGGCTAATAAGACAGAAGTGGCCATTCCAGTCTCCCTTGTCTTTGTCAGCAATACTATTTGTCTACCTGAGCCTTTCAGTCGACTGCTATCAAGACTGCTAACAGCCTGGCCTGTTGTATGACGGGCTGGTAAGTCAATAAATAAGAAGTGTTCGGAATGCGTCTATTTCACACAAGAGCACGCATGCGCGTCTCCCGCGCCGCATGCCATAAATGTGCGCTCGACGGCGTCCCGCTTTCGCTGTGGCCACAAAGCTCTCGTCAGACCTAATTGGTCCATATCAGCAAGCAGTTGGTGGGCTCTTCTAGGACATTATCTTCAAGCGGATTAGACAACACTTAGCCAGTCTGAAGGGGATGCCACGCATACACACAGCCTTTCATTGAGAATGACTTGCCGGTTTTGAATGTACATTTATCTCGTGGCCGATCGTGGTTCTCTGCCTCCCTTCCCTGTTGGTTACAATCAGGCAAACATACGGCTCGTGCAGATTATAAGCGCCAGGGCGAGTCATAACAGCAACTCGTTCATATGCAGCACAAACAAAATGTGTTTTGTTAAATAGGACAGCTACGTGGCTAAGTTTTTTTTTACTGGGAGGGAAGAGGTCTGACCAAAGTGCCCTTCCTCAGTGCACTAGTTACGAACGTTGAGAGTTCTCTGACAGATTCGAGGTGGTCTCCTGCAATGACTGCCCACGCAGTTGTGCGCGTGGCCGAAGTAAATGGTGTCATTCTAATGTATGACGCAAAAGCACACAATGAGTCATCTTCGCTTGGACGCCGGCTATGACAAATCAGCAGTACATACCGTTGTTGATGCGTTTTGTAGGCCAATTGTGGATGGCCGTTGTTGGACTAGTACTGCCAAACTCTCTCACACACGAGTTTGGCATAAGCAGACAATTTCGCGTGTGCGTCTCTGAGGGTGATAACGTCGGTGGAGCTCGCTCTTAATCACGGCCTGCCAAAAACAACTTCCAAAAAGTCGAACTCTATCTGATCTACTTCGAGGACACCCTTGCATCTTGCGTAGGTTAACACAGACAGCGTTACAAATCACTGCCATGGACGTTATGGTCTGTAAACATCGGCAGATTCACCAGTTTTTTTCAACAGCATCAACCAACCGTTGAATAATCCCTCAGACTATGATTTGATTTGTTGATCCCACCTCTTAGGTGTTTTTTTGATAGCCTTGCCTGTTTACCACTCTCAGTGACTCTTTTTTTTCAGGGATTATATAGCTACATTGAACGTCACGTTCGGGAGAACGCACCCTCGGCAGTCGACTGAAGTATGGCTTGCTGATAACACTTGTCTTACTGACTCTAACGCACTTACATAGTCGAGGCGAAGCTTGCTGCTGGATGCAGTATAGCCACTTAGCAGACCCTTAACAACACTAAAACAACCTGCCCTAGCCGACTTAAAAAGGCATTTTTTGTTGCTTTGCCCTAAAAACTCCGGGCTGGTTCATTTCCTGGCTCAGTTTTGCTGTAGTTTTGTTTTGCCGTTGCACTTCACACTCTTAACGAATTCCCTGAACAGGCCTTTTTGTTTTCCAATTTACAAAACAACGGTCCAAAGATTGCTTCCTGAGTCTTCCTTTGCCATCTCCCTTACTGGCACGCCAAGTTTATATTTTAAGTCGTCACAGACGCTAGCCCCGTGGTTGGAGGGCAAAAGGGGACGCCTCCCTTTTTGCTCTGACCTTCGAGGTCTGCCGTCCCCACAGGCTGTCGCGTAGCGACTATCGATCGACCCAAGTCGCTAAGTATTACTGTGAGAGGTAAGAAGAACTGGGGTGACAATTGGATAGTAGTCTCACTCCAAAGACGGTAGGTAGGGCCTCCTTTTTTAGGAAGTATAAGTTAGAATGGTACATTTGCACCATAAACTCGTTTTAATATACTACAATTTAAAATAACGAAATTACGACGAGGGCAAACCTGCGAAAAACCCATGCGTTATTTTAATCCTCTGGGAGAATTCATGCCTTAATTAATAATCACATTGAAGAAAAAGAAGAAAATCTCGTTTAACCTCATTGTCGTCATGTCGTGACTACACATATACTTTAGGTCCACAGTATGGATGGCCCAAAGATTCAGTTCAGACCTATGTTTGAAGTCTCAAAATAAAAGCATGGCGCTAATCCCGAACTGTAGCCCAAACACCAGTTTCTAACTCTAAAGTGAACCTTGCTCCTAATAGTAAACCTTAAGTGAGGCTTTACGGACAATTAGCCTACCTAAGTAGAGAGGTACGCTTTATTTTGACTATATAATTCCCAAATTTCAAAAAAAAGATATATTTGAAAGGAATAAAATTAGGCGCACAAACTCACATCACCGAGAAGTCAAAAGTAATCCATAATCGCCAATAACTGCAATTTTCGACATCATACATAAATGTCCTGGCAAAAGTCGATAAATATTGGCTGAATCGGACTGCTTTCAAAACGGCGCTAGCGTCGTGACCTCGCACACTGATGACCACTTTGTAGTTTAAATAAACAAAGAATGATAAACATCGGTCTATAATGGGCAATGACAGCTCAATTTGAAAAGCCCTCCAGACCAGGTGGGGCCACATACCCAATTGCTGCCGAAATTAGAATGATCATTTCTGATTTATTTGGTCTCTTCAACCAGTCCAAACCAGGTAACTTAGTCTCCAGACTCACAATAAGGATCTTAGTGCTCGAGGCATGATCCGTAGCCTTATCGCCTGCAATCCAAAATATGTACATTCGCATGACTGGGAAAATAGGTTTGTTCGCCACCGACTGCCTCTGTTGATGTCCTCGAGGAAGGCACCGACGCCACAGCC